ATATGGATTATGTTTGCTGTGCAGTTGTGCAGTTACATTCATGATTGACTCTGGTTCATGGTAGTTTGTGATCATGGTGTCTGAGAGTGATGGACAGATGTGGGCGTGTAAACCTCTGGGCCTTCCAGAACCTCTTTCCTTCTTTATTCATCAACAGATAAAATGGATGTAGATTTTGGGAGGGAAGGACCGCTCAATAAAGATAACATTTGAGATAGGATAAAAGTCTGTACAGGGTGCTGTAATCATATCAGACGGAAGCTGATTTGTAAATTAGAGCTTGCAGATTACATGCATTTTAAAATGTTTTCAATTACACTGTATTTGAATATACACACATTTCCTGATTATTGTTTAGAAGTAAGTCCATAAAGACTGGACTAGGTTTTGACGGTCCTCAGAATGCAGAATTTTTCAAAGATTCTCTGGCTATTTTGGTCACAGTCTAACAAATAAAAGCTTGTTAACCTTTGCTGTGTTCTATTTATGTCTCCAAAGGAATTAAGAAAAATGCTGGACTACCATGGTCTGCAGCGAGTGAAAATCATAGCAAGTGATAATCTCTGGGAGCCGATTTCTTCTTCCATGCTGTTTGACCGTGACCTCTGGAAGGTGGTTGATGTTATAGGGTAAGGTGCAGCTCACTTAGATTACCAGCAGCTCATGGTTTCTTTATCTGGGTGTTGACTGTACATTTCTTCTCGCCTTCTCTACCCCTGTGTGATTACATTACATGGTAATATTCACTCAGTTAGACATTGATCTCTCACAGTTCATTCCTTTCTCTTTGAGATGTGTTTTGGAACATTTTCTATGATAATGAAATGTATTGGTGACTTTTTTTCAATAAATGAGTTAATGTTTAGATGAATAAAACAGGGCTTTGTTTAGATCAGAAGGTAGGTATGTAGTCTTAGATGTTACCAGAGCAATGCTGCGAACTTAGTGTCTTGCTCAGGCCTCCTGTGATGTGACTCAGAGTGTGTGCACGAACAGTTTGTAAGTGGCTTGGTATGCGCCCTGACTGTCTTTCCTTCTTATCCCCTTAGCATTTTGACTCTTAGACGTCTGACTCTATTTTTAAATCTAATATTATAATTTATCATCTATTTTATAATTTTAATTTCTGCCATATAGCTCTCTGGGTCCTTACTGAACTATGCTCAGAAGTTTGATTTTTTTTTAAAGTAAACATGTGTTCTGTGTATCATGACAGTATATAAGCATTTAAAACTAGAGTCTGCATTAGGCGTAGAATTTGATTTTTAATCTGTTGTGACACAGCTTAATCTCTGCATATACTTTGTTTCTAAAAGAAAAATTTTAGATTTTTTTTAGTGTTTTATTTTTATCTTTGATTTTCAGCGCTGGGGACAAACCCAGGGCCTCATACATGCTAAGGCAAGTGCTCTACCATTGAGCTATACCCCCTTGCAAGAGTTTTCAATGTTTACAAAAGTAAGTAGAATAATAAATATGCATGTTCTGACCACTCAGCCTCAGAAAGTAAGAACCCATGGCCATTTCTTTTCCCATCTCCTTCATATTTTCATCAAATATGTATTTTTCTTATTTTGTAATTTTATTTGGATCTGCATCCATTTAAGATTCATCTATTGGTTGGTAATTAAGTCTCTTCCCATTGATTTATAATTCAGTTCCTTTAACTTCTTGCTTATTTTCTTCTTGTAACTTACTTGGGTGACTGGATTGTTTGTTTTGTAAAGTTTTCCTAGCCTATATTTTAATAATTTCATCCTTGTACTTTAACACACATGCCTATCCTGTTTTTCTGGAAAATTGATGAGAGTAAATTAGATATGGGATTTTTTTTTGCAAGAGAAAGTGTAATTGTACATTTATAGTTAAACTTTTTTTTTTTTTAATGGAAGATTTTGCCTTAGAATCCGCTTGAACAGCTCAGATCTGAAGGAGGAAAGACTGTTTTTCCTGAATGTGTTTGTTAGCAAGGCAGTCGGGAGTGAAGGATAGTTTCTGTTGTACTTCATGAAGAAGTGTGGTGTTTCACTGCTCATTAGTCATATAGGTATTGTAGTGCAATTGGTCTTCCTCTGAGTGACAGCATTACTTCATAGTTTCTTTTGTTCTCATTAAGTTAATATTTTATTGATTGTGGTCATATAATGGTAAATGTATTATTTAAATGCTTTTTCTCAAAAATTGCTTTTTGAATTAGGACGCATTTGCTAACAGAAAACAGGTCGGTTGAGTATGTAAATTCGCTGATAGAGTTTAAATGCTCTGTATACGGATTACATTGTTCACGTGATCTGTGTGGAGCTGCTATGTACATCTCCTCTTCCTACTACAGTGCTGACTGTTTCGGTCTTACACGGTTGTTTGCATGGGAGTTGGTGTCATGTTACTTGGCACATAGATAATGGATGTTTTATCTTTTTGTGCGTTGTAACTATTGTCGATAGAAAATATCATTCTGTAACTTATTCAGTATTTCTTGAACTGAATTCTTCTTTATTGAGATTAAAAGAAATCCTGCTTTCAGTTTTTGTTACTTTTAAAATTTTTTATTTTCCAGGTCATTTTATTTTAGATACATTTCTTGCATTGAATTAAATTTTGCTTTCTGATACTGCTCTGAAAAAGGTCTTCGTATTTCTTTTCTTTTTAAATCTCTCTCTCTCTCTCTCTCTCTCTCTATCTCTCTATCTCTCTGGAGTTATAGAAGTTTGTGAGTTGTCTGTTATGGGTGTTTGGGAGCTGGATTTGCAGCAAGCTGTATTGACCACTGAACCATCTCTCCAGCCCACATTAACAACTTTTGGTGTAACTGATGTTTGTGTTTTCCATGTTGCAGATATTTTCTGTTATTTGATGATGTGTGCTGTGATTCTGGTAAGGCAAACTCTGCTGCTGTGGTGTTTGTCTTCTTGGTTCTTGCTTAAGGAGGTGTCTTCCTACGTCGCAAGACTTGCTTTTGTTTCTGCAGGTCTCAGCCATTCTGATTCATAGCTTGCTACTGGTTGTTTCAGATGGGGATCATTTTATCTCCAAGGAAACATTTGGCAACGTCTGGGAGTGTTTGTAAATATCTTAGATAAAGACCTGTTGTTAGCATCTTATGGGTAGATGCCGGAAGTGTTTGCAGAAATTCCAGGGTACATAGCTCAGCTCTCCCGTGTTTATAACCAGCCCACGATTTTGGTTGTGCTGAAATTGAGGAACTGCTCTATGTTCCTGTGCTCTTTCCTATTTTCTTTTGTTTGTTTTTTCAAACAGAGGTAATGAGGATCAAATTGTATCTGGGATTGTTATTTTCCGTGCTAGGCGAGCTATTGAATTACCACAGAATGTACATACATATGGGCCTATCACCCAGGAAACTGTAAAGGATCCAGGCAGGTTGGAACCCTTTCTGTGCATTTGCCTCAAATTGAAACTATTATCCTGACCTCTAACAGTGAAGAACAGAAAATTTCATTGCGATGCTATTTCACAGAGGAGCACAGCTTTCCCTCAGTTGAACACTTAGAAATTGACCAGGAAGGAAAGTAAATAAAGCAGTTCTCATCTTTTTAACTTAAAAGCTTTACCAGCAAAAAAAAAAATCATGGAAAAAGTAGATCTGTCTTTAATGTTGGTACATCAGTTAGACATGCATGCCTTTAGAAAAACCAGGGAAGTATATTGCTCTTCGATGCTTCTCTGAACTTGGTATGAAGTTTGAACTGCTAACCTTTCAGATCGCTTCTATACTTTTTTTATAACTTATAAAATTATGCACACCTTTAATCCCAGTATTCAGAAGGCAGAAGCAGGCCGGTCTCAAGGTTTCAACAAGCTATTTGTATAATTACATTGTTGACCACATAGGATATTGTTATCGGTTGCTCATTACAGATTCCAGGTAAGAAGGAAAGATATTTTAATGGGGTTATCTCTTCTGTTGTTTTCTCTGCCTAAGAGATGTGATTGCAGGCTTGTTTCATCATACTTACCTAATATGATTTCATGATAATAGTTTATGCTCTAGAAAGCCTTCCCTAGGTCAGAATGGCCTAGAACGCTTACTCGACTGAGCAATTTTGTGGTGTTAAATCCTTCCTCAGTGGTTATTTGTATTGTTTCTAGGTTTTGGTCTTCTGAGATATTCATTCCTCCTGAGATGGTTCTGCTGGGCCCGTTCTCCTAATCCTTCTGGGTACTTTTCCTCACTGTAAACATGGCCCTGATTTAGTCTGCTCTGCCATCTCATTCTCATGACAAGCCTCTGCCATTCCTGAAGGGGTTGTTGTTACCTGTTGTTGAACTGGCTAAGGCCTTAGGCTTGCTTGTCCGATATTCTAGCCACCAGTCAGTCGCGGTGTCTGTGGATCACCGGAAATGTGACTGATGTACTTTAGGCGTGTCAGAAGTGGGAGGCAGACTTGTCACTGCAGGCTGTGCTTTTGTTTCCCAGCCACCCAGTCCCAGGGAACCACACAGAAACTTTTCTTAATTACAAATTGTTTGGCCTATTAGTTCAGGACTATTAACTAGCTCTTACAACTTAAATCAACCCATTTCTAGTCTATATTTTGCCATGAGGCTTGTGCTTGTTAACTCACGTCTTGCTTCCCTGGCAGCTGCTCTCATCTCCCCCAACTCCACCTTCTTCCTCTATCTCTGCTTGGATTTCCCACCTAGCTATATTCTATCCTGCCATAGGCCAAAACATCTTCTTTACTAACCAATGGTAATAAAACATATTCACAGCATACAGAGGGGTGTAGCACATCCTAGACCAGGTTTTGAAAATTAATCAAAATCAAAAAACATCTTTTACAATTTTTGTGTTGATTACATGTTAAATGATGATTTGGTGTGCCAAATTAAATTAAATAATTCAAAAGATATAAACAAAGCTCAAAGATAAATATATGAGGTATATTTAAGATAAGAGAAATATTCAGATCTATACAGCTCCAAAAAACTTAAGAGAAATATAATTCAGATTATAAAATTGTAAAATGTAGAAACAGTTTGGAAGATGTGTACCATTATAAAGACAGAGTTAAATTTATTCCTATTACTATCCTTTAAAGATCAATGATAGTGTAGCAAATGTTCCTAGGATTTTCCTCCTTTAAAAAATACAGATATGAGTATATGTTCATTGTCTGCATCAGACCAGCCAGGTATGCTGGCTCATACCAATGGGACCTGGTCACAGAAAACAAGTATAGCAGACATACATGTTCCTGAGTGCCAATTAGAAATATCCTAATTTTTAATATATTGACAATTTGTATTTACTGAAGTGCCAAAACTGAACACAGTGATCACAGTATAAAGTTAGGGGATATAAAAATGAGATGTAAGAATATGTTAAAATTATAGGCTTGCAGTCATTAGTAGTTTGAAGATTAGCAGTTTGATTTTTTTTTAAGTTTGGCCTAATAAGGTAAGTACATAATTTCTTAGACCTAGAGGGAGCTGAGATGCTCTTGGATGTTCGTCAGGTTGACCTGCAGCCTGACTCAGCTGTGTTGAGCCGCTCGACATGGTCCTGTTGGAACTTCACTTCTCTCCAGCGTCTCTGTTGGCGCTCTGTTATATGCGGCCTGTGATTCAGTTCCTTCCTGCCATTCATGCTCATTCATGCCTCAACTCACCTTTACTGATCCAAATGATTCCCAAGCAAAGCTTTCTGCTAAAATGACCTGGCCTAAGATGATATTGATTAAAAGGTCTTTAAAGTCATTCTTTTGATGGTGTACTACCCAAGAAAGTACGAAGATTAGAACTGTTGCATATTAAATCTCCATTATTCTGCTTTGTATTTATCCTGCTTGTTTGTGAATAATTAGCCCGGGAAGTTTGTGCTCTTACTCTGAAGTTTAGCAAATATACTCTTATTACTGTATCACCTATCAATCTAGTTTCTAATTTACATTTAATATCTTAGTCATATTGATTCATTTAATCGGTAGTGTCTACAGTTGTCATGAGAGCAGTATTTTATCCTTGCAACAGTCGGTATATATTTTTACTTTACCAGACCAAGTCTGTTCCCATGCTAGAATGAAAGTGCCTGGTCTTCTGGGACAGATTCTCAGTTGCTGCACTTTTGATGTCTTCTCTAGGCATTTCTTTGTCATTGGAGTTTGTCCTCTGTCTTGCAGGCTGTGTAGCGGCATTCATGGATTCTGCTTACTAAGTTCAGCTGTTAAACCTTTCCTGCTTCAGCAGGGACAGTTGACAAAGTGTTCCGTTATCACTGCCTAGGCCCCTTCAGGACTGAAATCCCCATGGCTGAGGATAACTACCGCTCTGAGACAGTAACTTAATTTTCTCAGCGTAGTTCATTCTTTTCACACAAGAATTAGTGATGCACTATTATTGGTGCAGCTTTTGTGGCTTTGTTTCAGAGCTTTACCTTGGAATAAGTGCCAAGATTTCTGTCTCCAAAGGACAGGAATATGGGAGAGGTTGCTTCTTCTTTGGTTGGGCACCTCAAGTTGGGCAGTGGTGGCACACACCTTTAATCCCAGCACACGGGAAGCAGAGGCAGGTGGATCTCTGTGAGTTTGAGGCCAGCCTGGTCTACAAGAGCTAGTTCCAGGACAGGCTCCAAAGCTACACAGAGGCTAACAAATAAAAAAATACGCACTCACCTTGCTTGACCTCTGTCTGGGTGTTTTCCTCCTGTCCAAACTTCCACAGCTTTTCCTGGAAAGGGCAAGTCTTTCTTGTTCTCCACTTGTAGTGGTCCAGATTGTGGCTGCTTTATCCTTTGTCAGTCAACTTACTTCCATCTGTTTAAGGTTTTGTGAATATTGTCATTTCATTTCATTTCATGGCTGAAGGTTCTGCCTTTCTGTCTACCTGCTGTCATTTGGAGAGTGCCCGCAATGGGAGACTGGGAAGTGGATGCCTCCTTCCCATCTTCCATCTTTCTTCTGGAAGCTGCTTGACCATATTAAAATAGCAGACCTCGGCAAAGATGTGTAATCCAGTTCACTCATCTCCCGTATGGAAGTGGTACCTCTGAGCGCTCCCTACTGCTCCCCTTGCTTTTCCCTTCCAGAGCGCATTATCCCGGAACCCGGACAGTGTGGAATGCAAGGATGACAGGGAAGAAGCTTTGGTCGTCGGAAGATTTTAGCACCTTCAACAATGATGTTGGTGCAGGCTGCTGGGGCCGCATATTGAATCAGAACTATATCAATGGCAATATGACCTCGTAAGTTATTTGTAGTCTTTTATTATATTGTATCTATTATTATAATGTATTTTATAAAATACAATAAGTAGAAAAGTATAATGGGCCGCTGTAATTTCACGCTCTAGTTTCAGTGGTTTTTAACATATGCTTCATTGACTTAATCTACATATGCCTAATATTTGTCTAATTTATGCCTTCTTTTCTGCATGAATTTGACGATTTATGTTTGAGAAGAGTCTGTATTAAGTAACGTTGTTTTCATTGAGGTACAGTCTACTCAGGCAGAGCAATGATCTTTGATAATTTGCATATATTTTAAATTACTTTGTGTCATATCATACCATCATATTTTAGTGTGTATCTCCAGAGCATTTGGATATTTTCTCACATTATTATGTTATTTTCATAAATATGAGCATATAAAATATTTCTAATTCTTAGTCTTTATTCATATTTTTAAAATACCATTTGTAACTTTTATTTATTTTAAAGAAGGTATAGCACAGGTCTGTGCATTCATTCCATTTATCAGTTTTGGTCCCTGCCTCTTTTAATGTGGAATTATTGACTCAGCTTCTTTTCATAGTTACCTTTAAAACAAACAAACAAACAAACAAACAAACAAACAAACAAGAAACCAAGGTAGTAAGTAGCCTTTCATTGGTACCCACGTTCACTCGGAGTGGCTGAGTCCTTATGGAACCTCTTAACTTGATCTAATTCTTCACAAAACCAAGTTTGTAAAGACAACACAATCCCTTTTATTCTTAAAGGGAACATTTCCTAAATGATTTGATGACAGCTGAGGAGTAATTAGATGCCAGTTAGCCTTATAAGATAATTGTAAGTCTAATAAAAGCAAGCCAATATACATACTTTTGCGGTCGCTTGTTCGGTATTAGGATGATGCATGTTCTTTGCAGACATGGAGAAAATGAAGATGAGTACCAAGTGAGACAAAGCTGCCTTTAACGTTGCCATCTTGAAATAATGGTCCTTAAAACATCCCCTTATTTTTATAGACTTTTAATTAATATATTGACACCTTGATATATGGTCTGTTGAGCAAGCTGCTTCTTACTTAACAGGGTTTTTCTCGCGTTAAGTATATTTTTACATCTCGTGCTTTTTGTTTTGTCTTGTTTTTGAGACAGGGTCTTCCTATGTTGCTTAGGCTGGCCTTGAACTCTCTATACTCTTGCTCAACCTCCTGAGTGCTGAAGTTATAGGCATACACCACCACTTCCAGATACTTATCATACATCCATATATTCTGTCACATAAACAAGTCTGTCTTAAGACATCCTGCAGTTCCTAAGCAGCTGCTCACTTCTATGGTCCTTGTACATCTGGTCGGTACTTAGGGCAGTTCTGTTGATGCCCAAGTTTGGGAAACACCTGGAACAAAATAGAGGATGCCAGCCATGTGTGAGCCAGATCATGAGAACTCTTATGATGTTCTCCACTGATAGTGTGTGTGTGTGTGTGTGTGTGTGTGTGTTTTATTAGCATTATTATTTTTGCTTTATATTGAGGTAATGAGAAGGTTTAGATTTTCTAAGCATGCCAGAGTAGCTTTGTGTCTTGGGAGAGCACTTGGTCAAGGAAGTGGAATTCTTAGGTGGGTGCTGTTAATATATCAGCTGTAAGGAACCCATAATGTTTTGTGCTTGAATTTTCTGAGAGCTGTAGGGCTGTGCTCCTGGAGCTAGTATGTGCTGTAAACTGTTAGTGTCTCTCACCTGAAAGAAAGGACCCCAAACAGGCCAGCAGGCTATCTGAGTTGGTACTTTAGCACTTTAGCGGAAGGAGGAAGGATAGAGGCTGGGGTTGTGTCAATACAGTTAATCCTCCCAGCCACCTGGTGATTCAGGTGCAATCATCATCTTCAGTCCACAGGGGAGGGAACAGGGGTCAGCAGAGGTGAGGCTGTGGAGTCCTGACTTGAACCCAGTCTAGGAGTTCTTGTTTTCAAACTGCAGCAGCTCCAAGTCAAGTCGGTGGAAATCACATTGTGAAGTTGGGGTACTAGGAAGGCTGTCCATGGAGAGCAGTTATAGAGAAGCTCTTACTTGTACTGGTTTTGCACTTTTGACATGTCAGGTTAGGCTGAATTCTTGCATATGAATGTGTGCGTGTAAATGTGTATGCATGTGTTTTACATGAATACATATGTGTGTTTTCAAGAATATATACATGTGTGTGTTACTTTTAATTCTCTGATTCCCTGTTAAAATGCTCAGCTGTCACTGCGCTGAACTTTTAAAGATGAGAGTGAACTGAGATGTCATATATTTTGTTTGGGGTACTTAAAAGTTTATGTTCACTTACATATCATTCTGAGATTTTTACTCCAGTTGTTTAAATATTTATATCACATAGTACTTTGGTGTTTCTTCTTTTTCAACTTAATGTTTTAGCACAATTGCTTGGAATTTGGTGGCTAGTTACTATGAGGAATTGCCTTATGGGCGAAGTGGATTGATGACAGCCCAGGAGCCATGGAGTGGGCATTATGTGGTAGAAGCTCCTATCTGGATATCAGGTATGACTGTCTAGATTCCATCTCTCTCTCCGCAGAAAGCACCGAAGGAGGTTATCAAACTGTCCATGCTTCAAGTGTTTGACTCTTTTAAGGGAGTTATGCCAGTGTTTCATAATACTATTTTGGGTAACCTGACTATTTTCTGTATTTTATACTTGACTATTCTGAGATCAGGCCCTTATACAGGGAGACTAAAGAGGGGACAGATAGCACCATAGGGAAAGGGGATGCCCAGTGATGGAGACAGAGGTAATCATGTAAGTTTATGATCCCAAATCATTATTATAACTGATGGAGTGAATATAGTTAGAAATATCCAGCTAAGCTCAGCATGTTCTTTTATATCAGTTCCATTTTATTGATTGCACTAAAGTGAGTGAATATAATATATTAATTTTGATACTAATAAAATTATAATCATTAATCTAAAGAAATAAACATGTTCTGTAAAATAATATGACTTTACAGTGGTCCCTAAATCTACTAAGTGTTTGAAGATATACAACTGTAGGTAGAGTTTTTTCATCCCAGCAGCCACTTCTTCCCAAATAACCACAAGATAGTCTTATTATTAATTACAAATGCTCGGCCAATAGCTCAGGCTTTTTACTAGCTATCTCTTACATTTTAAGTTAATCCAAATTTTTTTAAGTCTACCCTTTGCCATGTTATCTCATTTTTTTATATGCCCTGCTTCCTCTGTTGGCATCTCCTTCTGGCACCATCCTTCTTCATTCCAGCACCCTTAGTTTGGTTGTCCTACCTGTACTTTCTGCCAGTCAGCATTTTATTAAACCAATTCAAGTGACAAATATTTACAGTATAGAAAAGGATCATTCCACAGCAATGAGTTTTAGAAAAGATAAAATTATGACTCTCATATAGATTAAAAAATGGTCATACACTGAAGATTTTGTGTTTCTCACATGAAAAGAAGAAACCAGGTAAATGCTAGAATGAGCTTAGAGGAAAAGTCATCAAGGCAAAGCAACTTGAGATTAATTATAAATGGAGACAAGATTAGTTTCTCACAACTGGGAGGATATCAGTTAAAATATCTTCTAGACATGACATAGTTTTCATGGCTCAAAGACAGGGCTATTGGATCTATGTACTTCCAATGAAATCCAGGTCTTCTTCAGTATCAGTCACATCCAAAGGAACATAACCATATTAATAGCTAATAACCTCATAAATAAGATAAATAACAATATTGAAAATTTTAATTTTAGTAAAATATTTAACATTTATATTTATTGTGTGTCAAAATTATACCATAGTCTTTAAAAAACCCAAATTTCTTCCAAAGAAAGATAATTCTAAGTCAACTTGCTTTAACTTAAATCCACATTCTGATAATTTTCTTTTTTGTGTGTTATTCTCTGATTGTAATCATGGCATTAGTTTAAATTCCTTAAGTAGCTCTTCAAAATAGTGGGAAAATTAAGCAAGACTTCTGTGTGTTGGTTGGATAGCCTCTTAGTTGTTGGCATTGTTTCACTTACTTAGGTGAAGTAACCCTCTTCTAAATTTCTGACTTTGGGGCATTGGTAGGAACATGGAATATTGCTTAGTTTATTTTCAGGACCAGATTCAGAGAGGTGACAGTACTTAGGAACAAGTCTGTTTAACACCAAACCATAAAATAGTTTTGAGATACATTTATTAACTTTTTAAAAGTTCCTTTTAAAAAATTCTTTTAATTCTTCCCTGCTCTGTTAGAGTGGAACAAGTACTGATGACCACTGCTTGGCAAGAGTACCTTAGTTGTGTACTTAGAGAATGGGAATGCGCAACCACTGTTCTTGAATTTCCAGGTTGATTTAATCTCACTGGTGATTCAGAAAGCCCTCCTGCCTTTACACTTTTCTGCTGAAGTATTTAAAAAATGGAAGCATGAAGTCGGGAGATAATTTCTTAAAATAGAACGTAGCTGGTTAGATTCAGTCAGTTCTTTCTAGTCGGTAGACTATTTTCTTTCACAGTCGTCTCATTCGCATCTTCTCCTCTTTCTCTGTAGCTCATACAACTCAGTTTACTCAACCAGGCTGGTATTACCTGAAGACAGTTGGCCATCTAGAGAAGGGAGGAAGCTATGTAGCTCTGACAGATGGCTTGGGGAACCTCACCATCATCATCGAAACCATGGTAATGTTTTGTTGTTGGTCCACAACTAGTGGGCACCTAATACTTCACCAGAAACTTGGTCTTCAGAGACAAGAAGGGCATTATGTTCTCCCGGGCATAGAGGGCACTTCTCTAAGAGTCTTATGACTTGTTCCCTTGGAGAAAGGTGGGGGGAAGGGTCTGATGGGTACCTTGCTCCTCATGTTGTTTTTAAGACTTCTTTATCCTTAAAGATGTATTGGGATAGCCAGCCTTGATTCTCACTGTGGCTTCTTATGAAAGCTGTAGTTAACACTCCTATGGAAGGTTTCCTGGGACCGTGTGCGTCAGTCCCTTTGGGGGTGTAGCTAGGAGTGGGCCTGGCCTGCCAAGTTAAACAGTAACTTTAATGGGGCAAAGATTGCCCCTTGCCTGTGCCATTTCTCCTTGCTACCAGCAGTTCCTAAGGCTTCCAGTATCACCATGTCCTCTCTAGGAATTATTGTCCATATCTTTGTATGACGATTCTACAGGCTATGAGGTGGTGTCATTGTAATTTGATTTACCTTTTCCTCGTGACTAATGATCCTGGCTGTTTATTCATATGTTCTCTGGCTAGCTGTATGTCCTCACTGGAGAAATGTCTATTTAAATCTACACTGTCCATTTAAATTAAGAGGATTTTTTATTTTTTGTCTTGAATTGTAAGAGTTCCTCATATAATCTAACACCCCTCAGAAGACACATGTGGATTCTCTGTATTTGCTCCCATCCTTATAGCATACGCAGGGTAGGCCAGGTTAATCTCAGAGTCATAATCCTGCTGTGTCAGTATCCCAAATGCTGGCGTCGCTAGGCCCAACTTGTCTCTCTCTTTCTAATGGCATTCTCTGAAGTAAAAATGTTCTAAACTTGTGTATTTTTTGGTAAGATTTGCCATTATTTTAAGTCTTACATTTAGGTTTCTGATCCTGTTATTTCTTGAGGTGCTTAGCATTTGTTCAGCTTCTTCCTGAGTGTGTGTGTGTGTGTGTGTATGCGTGTGCACGCATGCCTAGTTAGTCTTCCACCATGTCTTGAACAGTCTATTTTTCCACTTGAATTACTTTGCATACATGCTGAAAAGCAATCTTTAACAAATTTTTTTTTTTTTTTTATCCATACTTGTACTGTAGTGGTTACCATTGCATCTTAATCCCTATACTTCTGAGTGAGGGTTTGATGGGCGAGTTTAGCTTTGATCAATTTCAAGGTTGGTTATTTTGGGTACTTTGAATTTCAGCATGAGTTTTAGGACTAGCTAGTTAGTTATTGCAAGCAGACAGCCTACGATTGATCCTTTACTTACTCTGTATGTGAATATGGAGAAGCATTTGCATTCTACCCTGCCAGTCAACAAATGTGGGGGTCTTTCTGAGCTTATGCCTTACTTAATTTCTCTATATGTTGTCTTTTTCATTGTGGAAGTCATATTTCTTTTTATTAATTTAGTAAACTTATCTATTAAAATTTTAAATTTTTATTGATTTGTTTCTTATTAATACTGCTGGGTGTTTTATTCCTCCAGATCCTACTATAAATAGGTTGCCTCAATTTTATTTTCAGAGTGTTCATTTCTCATGTGTAGAAATGCAATTGATTCTTATGTATTGATCTTGTCCTCACAGCCAGTTCTTTCTGTGGGTTACTAGAGGATTTTGTTTAAATGAGCACACCAAGTAAGTAAGATTCTTTTAGTCCTCCCGCTAGTCCTCCCATTATCATTCTAGAAACTTTGTGTTTCCTTTGCTTGCCCAGTTGTCCTGCCCTGCTGCTGATCTAGAAAAAAGAAAATCACTGTAGAGTGTGCTCTTAGCTGCTGGTGTTGCATTCGTGTGTAGAACTTCAGGCTGAGGATCTTGCCTTTTGTAGGGAGCACGTTGAACCCTTTTAGTCAGAGTTCTGGTTTCCCCGCATGCATGCCTGTGCTGCTTTTGCTCGTTATGCACTCTGATCGTGGGCTACATCATCCTGAGTGACTTCTGTGTGCGGAATCACCCATGCATGCCCGAGATTACCATCCTGACGTCATTCAGTATCCTTTGTATTCTGTATTGGATTCAACTTCCTAGATCCCCTAGGATTTCCTCCCCTCGTTGGGTCTGGTAGGGGAATAGTTACTAACCCCATGGAGTGATTTGGGAATGTTTCTGGAGAATTTCTGAAGGTCTGGTGCTCTTCAAATGTTTGACAGAATTCATATATGATGGCATCTGGCCCCAGGATTTTCCTTCATGAGTTTAAGGATCTTTTCACTCATTGTAGGTCTGTTCAGATGTTATGTTTTCAGAAGCGTTGGGATTTTCTGTTGTTCTGTCTTTTTGTCCTTCAGATCTGTGTTGTTTAACACAGAGGCCTATGTTCAGTTCCTTTTCTACTCAGATACAGCTGGTAGGAATGCTCCTAATGTTCCTCTTTTGGTACCAACCTTAGTCACCCAAATCACATCTCTTTCTTCTTGGTTGGTCTTCTAAAGGTTTATTTATCTTTCCGAGGGAATAATATTATTTTTGTTTGTTTTCTGTGTTGCAGTATTTCACACCAGTATTTATTGTCTTTATTTCCCCCCTATGGATTTGCTTTGTTCTTCTGAAAACTGTTCAGCTTCTTGAAATAGAAGTCAAGATTATTCCTTTGAATCTCAAATATATAAACATGAATCGGCTTCACTTCCTCTGCAGGCGGTGCTTTAGTGTACTTCATCCCTTTTCTGTTTCGTTTTAACATTTTTAATCACAAAGTATGTTTTTTTTATTGTCCTTGTGATTTGTTTCTCGACTTTATTGCTCAGTACCAAGGTATCTTTATATTTGTGTTTCTGTGAAATTTGCAACTTTCATTGTTGATGCTTCATCTCATCCCATTCTGACTGGAGAGCATACTTCCCAGTGTTCCTGAGAGGAGCTGCAGCCATTGCCTTGCCCGTGGGCCATCCTGAACACTGACTGGAGCAGACTAGGTGCCTTGTTGCCTGTGGAATTCCACACGACTCTTTCTTAGGCCTGTTTGGCTGTTTGTGTTCATTTCTCTGCTGTGAATTGTGACAAGTAAAATCTCAACCTTGTAGAATTGTCTACAATTCTCCTCTCTTCTGTTAGTTTTTGTTTTCTATGATTTTGAGATTTTTCTTGGTGTTACTTCAGATATTTTAATGTATTGACTTCTGGCATTAAATTTTCTCACTGTTTTTATTTTTTCTTTTGTTTTAAAATTGATTTTCCCTTTTTGTCATTGCTAATTTTTTGGTGGCATCTGTTAGTATATTTATTTCCCTTAATTGTTGTTTTCAGCCTGCTTCTTTGAACGTAAAGCTTATCTCCTTTTCAAAAGCACATAGTTGGGTCTTGCTTTTCTTAAACTTATCTGGCATGTGGTTCGATTGTTGGATAAGCACTGGGGTTGCTATGGTTGAGTTTATTTTTGCCTTGTGATCTTTGTTTTCCACAGTCATGATTTTGTTTCTATTTTGTATTCCTCCTCTGCCATTTTTTTTCCACATTTAGTGAGTTCTTTCTGAGGCTGCATTCTGTTCATTTAATAATCTTTTCACTATACTTTTGCGAGTTGCATCTTAGCGATGGTTTCAGAAGTCACCGCCCATACCTTACTGCTTCAGGACCACTTCAGACTTCAGTTTCCTTGGTCCGGGGCAGATGCAGGGATGCTCTTCTGCCTTTTCATTCCCTTTAGGCTTTTATCTTTTCCCATTTTTAATTATACACATCACATCTCCAACAGGAAGAGAACGGAATGCTGTGAAATTATTACTTTAGATGATTTTTTAAGAGTGAAGAAAAGAGGACAGTATATATTTATATCACCTGTTATATTTAATTTATGGTTCTTGTTCTTTGGATCTGTTTCTATGTATTTAACTTGCCATTAGGGTCATTTCCATAGTCTAAGCTTTGGCCAGGCACATCCTCATTAAGGTTATGTTAGGAATATTTTTTTATAGTTTGAAATAAATTCAAATTTGTTATAAATGTTTGCTTCTTTTGCTACTCTTCAAGCATTGATTATGTAAAGTTTCCCCCACAATATAGCGTGTATATTATGTGGATAACTTACATGACTCTCTTCCCTCAGAGTCACAAACACTCCATGTGTATACGGCCATATCTACCGTATTATAATGTCTCACGCCAGCTGGCCACCTTCACTCTCAAGGGATCTTTGGTGAGTACATATGTTTGACTTTCATTTTGCTTTCAAAATTTGTGTTGGGGTTAGACAGATGGCCTAGTGGTTAAGAGTGCTTGCTACTTTCTTTAAAGATGGGAACCTCTGTCAAATAACTCACAACTACATAGAACTCTAACTACAGAGGATCTCATGCCTTCTTCTGGTCTCCAAATGTCACACATGTGAGCACACAGAAATAAGCAAATAAAATAAATCTTTACAAATTTATGAAAATTTTGTGTTATATTACAGGCCATCAGTTCTTAAGTGAAGTCTTGTATTATGGAATTTGTATACAAATGGAACCTGTCCTGGTGCCTTGTATCTTCTGCATTTCCCTTTTTAATAATAGTCTTATGTAATAGCTAGTCTAGCCTGGCCTCACTACACAGTGGAGGATGACCACAAACTCCTGAGCACCCCACCTTTTCCTGCTGAGTGCTGGGATTACAGGCCTGTGCCAGTACACCTGCTTCAGGGGGTGCTGGGCAAGGAATGCTAGGCAAGCTGGCCAACAACCGAGCCACATCACCAGCCTCTTCTGACCTTCACAAACAAAGACAGAGGCCAGTACCGGATAAAGCTGCCTGTGGCTTTGGGGACTTTAAAAAGTCCTTTGTAGGAAAACTATTATTGGTGGTCTAAGATCAATTCTGTGACGTAAAGGATTTTCATTTTCCTTTTCTTTTTTTCTTTCTTCCTTTCTCCTCCTCCTCCTCCTCCTCCTCCTCCTCCTCCTCCTCCTCCTCCTCCTCCTCCTCCTCCTTCTTCTTCTTCTTTTTTTTGAGACAGGGTTTCTCTGTATAACAGCCCTAGCTGTCCTGCAATTCACTCTGTAGACCAGGCTGGTCTTGACCTCACAAAGATCTGCCTGCCTCTGCCTCTGCCTCTGCCTCTGCCTCTGCCTCTGAGTTCTGCCATTAAAGGCATATAGCAACCACCACCTGGTGAGAAATTTTCAAGCTCTAAAGCTTAGAGTATTCCATACTGAAAAACAAACAAACAAAGCCCAATTAAACAAAAATACCCAAAAGCCACCAATTTTTTTAAACCTCTTATTAAAGTTGAAATGGAAGAGACCAGTGTACTTCTTACTAGTGATGTCACAGAATAAGTTTTTATGCCAGAGAATTATAGGCAGCACAGAGAGTGGACTGGCTGCATTCTGTATTTGATTAAACGCCCTACTCCAGGAAGCTGGAAGGCTTCAGAAAGAGGCACTGATCTAGGCTCTGCTATTGAACAGCTGTCTCCAAAATCAAGCCAAAAGCTACATGTTTATTCTTTTTATTGCAAGCTCATGCCACCCACGTATTTATCTAAAGCACATGACAAAGACGGTCAGAGATGTTACGACAGCCCAGCTACGTGTGGCGGTTACTGCTCAGAAGCCCTAAGATGCCGCTTGAAATGTTTCTTTACCAAGTTGTTCAAAATCATGTGGGTCTGGTGCTTTCCGTGTGGTCCAACTGTGAGCGTGGAGATGCATCTCCTCTTGAATTCTCTTGAAAGAGGAGTCTCTTTCTTATATATGTCTAGAATTATTGCCATTGTCAATGTGGCACTCAGGATTTACTGACTTGAGAGAAATTACTGTAGTATATAATAATTATAATGAATGATAAGTATTAAAATATGAAGACTAATTTAAGATACTTTTAGGACATTATTAATTATTCATACTGGATCTTCAGTTTTTGGTTAGCATTTCTGCATTCACCATAATATTATATACTTTGAAGGAAAAAATTTAGAACATAATGATTACCTTTGAAGACGTTTAATTTTATATGGATGTCAATAACACAAGAAGGCAGAAGAAAGCGAGGTAAGAGTCTGTAATAATAAGTAAAGACATTTTAAAGTAATTAAATGTTTAAGAAAGCTTCTTTTTACATTGGGAGGCCAAGGCACTAAGACCTGTGATTGACATTTGCCAGTATTCTCAGGTGTTAATGCAGTGAGCTAACAGGGTACAGAGATTTATTATCTGTAGCGCTCTCTCCTGAAAAGGAAGCATGACAGTCTTCTGGGACCCTAGCCACGGTCACAGAGGAAAGCCCGTTGTTCCCGAGGACTCTCAGTTTAAGGTGGTGGCTTAATCAGGAAAAGCAGTAGACAGATTCAGTTGTACACCAACTTAACACAAGGCCAGAGAACACATACTCAAAAGCAGACGGCGGGAGCACTTCTGAGCATGCCCAGTTGAGTATTGTTACCGATCCAGGCTGATTTGGTTCCCTAACAATGCAAGTCAGTGTCTCAAGGGCTGTGCTGGTTTTCCTCGGGTTTCTCTGGAATGTCTCCACTGAAACAAAGCCAGAAGAGGACAGTCGTGCTGGTTCTTTAACGCGGGCGTTTGTTGCTGGTGGTGCCTGCTTTGCTCAGTGGCTAGTGTTCGTAGGAAACGAAAGCGTTGCTGGAGCCTGTCTTCCTGTTTCCGAAAGTGTAACTGTGTTAACCTTGAGACAGTTCTTTCCGCAGCGTGATGAGAGACCGATTCCAGGATGTGATGAATCTCTCAAGCGTGCTTTCTTGTGTTTTCTTCCCAGAGAGAAATACAAGAGCTCCAGGTGTGGTATACCAAGCTCAGAGGACCATCGGAGAGGCTTCATTTCAAACAACTGGACTCTCTATGGGTAGTCTTAAAATTGATTCCTCCGTTGGGGGCATTACAATAGTAAAAAGGAACAAAAGTGATCGATGAATTAAAAGGGAAGTTGATTTTATGACAGCAGGCGGTAGAGATAAACATCTCTCCATATTTTTCTTAAACAGAAATCCTGAGTAAGGTGTGAAAACCTTGTGTATCCGTAGCTGTATTAGTGCTTGTTTATACTGGTGGATGTGTGCACTGCTGTCTGGCCGCCCAAGTGAGAGATGTAGGTCTCCTTTGAGGTTGTTTCCCTCTGTCCGTCCTGGTCTGTCCCCTTGGCAGTTGGCTGTAGGCAGTTCTGCCCTCTGTGTTTTCTCTTATTCGCCATTGTTTCTTGTTCTCCCCGCTGCCTGTCTCCACTCTTCATTATGGCCTCATTGTTCAGAAACTGCCCACAGTTTCAACAGACTCCAGTCTGAGTCTCGGGGCAAGCCGTGGCCCTGCTGCTAGAGCGGTGTGCCTGGAGTCCTTGGTTTGGAATGCGTCATCGTTCTTCCCCGTCAGTTCACTTTCCCCACGTGACCATCACTGTCCTGTCATGTGATCACCACTGTCCTCTCAGGCGCTGGAAGATAGCTTTCCCTTCCAGAGGCAGATCTCAGTAGCTGGCCTCTCCTCACAGAGAGTAAACTCCTAAAATGGCTTCCATCGTATCTCTGAAGATATGTCAGCTCAAGTGTCCATTTCTTTGAAGCCTTGCTCACCTGACCCAGTGCAGAACTCTTTGTGGATCTCATTAAGTACCCCATACCCCTCCCCCAGGACTTTCGTTACCTTGAGATTGGGGCTCTGCCTTGTTTTAGTCCAGATGTGTTTGATCCTTGGTAGTTCCCCAGGGAAGGTTGCAAAGAGTGAACTGGCCCAAGCAAGCATATTACATCATCGAACTGACTTTATCGGCTGCGTTTTTAATAATAATGTTCTGACAATTAGCTAGTCAGTATCAGTAATTAAATACCCATTAGAACACTCTCTACTTGTATAATAATTTGCTAGAAATCGTATAATACAATTGACTTCTCCCATAGGAATGTTATCTGGCGTTAATCCTGAGCCAGAATGTGGCACTGGGTATCCATGTTTCTGCATCTTTTTACCCTTAAAGCCAAGAAATAATGGTAAAAAGAAATAATAGTTTAGTGTAGATAAAAACTCATTAAAGTTTGAAAGACGGGCTCAAGCTCAGTACCCACGTTAGTTATGCGGGATTCTAATGTTCCCAGAAGGCAGTGCCTATTACAGGAACTGGGCTCTAGAGAGTGTTTCCTCTGGCCATACATTGAAGCAAGCTAAGCAGACCCTTTTTACACATCTGGTCTGATTCTCACAACAGCCTTCTGAGATATGTGTCCAGAGCCTTGAGATGAAAAACTTAGAAAAGACTGCGTTGCTAGGGTCGTACATGTGACCTAAACCTAGCCTAGTAATTGAAGCTAAAACTGAGAGTTCCATGTGCAGATTTTGGTTCTTAGCTCTCCAGTGTGCGAGGTTCCTAGTGCTCACCAGCCGAGCTGTCTGGGAGCTTATGTGCCTTCTTGTCTGTTAGTGAAGCTCTGGAAGAAACAAGCAGCCTCTGAGTTGCATTAATCAAACCAACGTGAGCTTCAAGGAACTTGCAGTGGGACGGAGGAGGCGGCTGACGGATAGAGACTTCCAGCCATCTTGGCCTTTCCCCTTTTTCTGTTGGAACTTCTTTTCTACAAAATATCATCTATACCCTCTTGAAAAACACTCTTAGAAAGCGCCGAGGGCCTTAGCGTTGCTGTGTCTTCCCCACGTGTTTAGGAAGCTCTAGCAGAATGACTGTCTAAGCTTGCTTCTTTCAAAGCTGTCCCCATGCCCACGCCCCTGAGGTTTCTAGCACCTGGCCGTGAACGTGGGGCCGTCTTCTTTTTCAGCTCCTGGACAGCGGTGGCAGTTTTGCCTTGGAACTGCAGGAGGACGAGCTGGTGACACTCACCACTCTGACCACAGGCCACAAAGGCAGCTACCCTCCGCCTCCCAAGTCGCGGCCCTTCCCGAGAAGCTATAAGGATGATTTCAACGTTGGTGAGTGGTCTCTAACCTGCCTCACCTGCCATCCATCCTCTGCAGAGCAGAGCACTGTCTTCTCGTCAGACTGCACGGATGACAGATCGCAGGATGTCCAAAGTCCTGATGTCCCTTTCAGCCCTTTGAGTTTTACCTGGTTAAAAGATAGCTAATGTTTCCGGTTCTTTGAGGCGAAGTTGTATGTTTCAGTTCCAGAAAAAGATGCAGTCGTCATTGTGAGGAGGAAAGTTATAATTCTAAGCCCTTTTGGGGGAAGCATAAGATGATAGCTGGGTACCGCCTCCTTGACCGGCCCTACGTGTTTCTCTCATGTGGAGGCTAAATCATGGTGCCAGGGAACTGAGTGCCTAAGGGCAGCCATGCTAGAGTTAGGGGCTTCAGCTCATGGCTTGCTGGAGCTGAACCCTCGCGTCTTCAGGAGGGTCTGCCCTGCTGTGATGGAGAAGCCTTGGAGGATGGGCCGTTGGGAAACCATCTGAAAGCAGAAGTGAGCTCGTTGTGCTTGTATCTCTAGAGGACCAGCAAGCAGCGGCATTTGCTTTCCAAGCAGTAGTGGTTGGTGGGCCCGAAGGCTTCAAAGTTGAGTCCAGTAGCTCTATAATCTGCCTCCAAAACTGACGGCTGTCGATGTAGAGTGTCCAGATGTACAGCGTGATGTACCCGCATCCTCCTGTAGAGGGCAGCACTGCTTGTTCCACAGAACAGGGAGACTCCCGCCTGTGCCACTCCCTGCTGGGTCTCACATTCCCGTGGCAGGGCATGAATGTTCAGCTGCTTGACATAGAAAGGCCTTTGGGCTCTGGTGCTGGCATCTCCAAATATCACACACACTCACACACACACACACGTCTTTAGGTCTAAATTTTGGTAGGTTTTAAGTATTATTTATATTTTAAAAATCACTGGAAAGTGTCTCACAATATTCCACAGGTATCAGACAGGAGGGCACTGGTAAGGGGTTGATGCTCGGCCTCTGAGACACTAAGCAGAAGATTTGTTGTGCTCTGAACAGATTACCCATTTTTTAGCGAAGCTCCGAACTTTGCTGATCAGACCGGCGTGTTTGAGTACTACATAAATAACGAAGACCCCGGACCGCATCGCTTCACACTGCGCCAAGTTCTCAATCAACGACCTATCACCTGGGCTGCGGACGCTTCCAGCACCATCAGCATTATAGGCGATTACCACTGGTGTGTGAGAGAGATGCCCTCAGTGTCTAACTTCCTGATCTGGGTCCATTCTGAGTGACAAGCTTGCGGTAGTCCTCATGTGAAGAAGCCTACTAGGCAGGTCATGGTTGTGTGAACTCGGATGACCTCAGATTATTCCAGGTTGATAATAACTTTAGTGAGAGAAGTTTAACTTTAAAGGAAGAATTGAGACTACTTGGGACTTTATTATATAATAAATAACATAATATGTTATAATTATAATTTAATGCTTCCTTGCAGACCTTGTGATTTGAAGTTTATCAGAGTGGATTTGTTGAGCTGGTGTTGCCACCTGCTGGACAAGCCGTAGAATTACACCTAAGCTAAGTCTAGGAAGCTACTTAAAAAGCAATCCTAAACATCCAAGCCTTTCTTTAGATATATATTAAACACACAAGTTATATATTTTTTTGCCAGTTAAAATGCAATTGACAAAACTTGTACCTTTACCTTTAATTTAGTTATGGAATTTTAGGGTGCTGACTTACTGTTTTGCCCGCTTTAGGTAGTATTTTTTACTTTTCTCATTACACATACCTACAAATTCTCTCTCTGTGTGTCTCTCTCTGTCTCTGTCTCTCTCTCATTTCCCCTCTTTCTTTCTCTCTCCTTTTCTCCTCTCTCCTCTCCCCCCCGCCCCTCCTCCCCTATGTGGTAAAGTTCAGCTGGGAACAATTCACTTCAGAAGGAGCTTTGTGAGATGTGAAGGACACACAGCTCTGGACCCCATACCCTTGCACCTTGTTTCCGAGATAGATGCCCTGGTACCCTTACTCTTGCTTTTGCTAAATCAGTGATGTCCACACTCTCCTTCCTCTTTGCTGTTAGGTGTTTAGTATGAAGTGGGTTGTTTTCAGGGAAGATGTTTTGAAACGGGAGAGTTGTGTCAGAGGGAAAGAGCTGTACCTGGTAACGTGTTTCAAAGGAAACCAACAGAGAGGAGAGCTATTGTAAGAGCTCTGATAGTTCCTGCGTGGCAGAATCTTTCCCTTCCCTTGATAGCCCCATGGGCCAGTGAGCCTATAACCAGTGCTTTGCTGCAGTTTGTACAGGTCTCAGGCAGACATACTATGCAGAGTAAAATGCTTCTCAAAGTGGTATTTGTGGGCCAGCATCATCACAGTACCTGGGAAGTCTCATTCAAGGGCCCACCTCAGACCTACTGAATTAGTACCATGAAGATGATACCATTCTGCTGAGTTAGCAAACCCTTTGTTATATCTCTGAGGTCCTGATGCAGAATCAACATAAAATATTATCTTCATTTCTTTGAGGTTTATTTGATGGATATATGGGTGTTTTGCCTCTGTATATGCCTGTGTGCCCTGTACGTGTTTTGCTGGCAAAGCCCAGAAGAAGGCATCGACTCTCCTGAAACTGGAGGTGCACACAGCCGTGAGCTGCTGTGTGAGTGCTGGGAACTGCGCCAGGGCCATCCGGTGGGGCCGCTCCAGCTCTCAAATCGACTGTCCTTTTAGAGACAGAATTTAGTCAGATCTTTAAGGAAGTTAAAGTTCCTTAATCTTGATATGATTGAAATGTACAATTGGCCTCAGAGTAGTTAATACACCCCTGGCATGGGCTGCCTGCTGTGTTGTTGATGGAAATGTAGGTAAATCTTTCTATTCAGACTCACCAGAAACTTTGCCTTTCTGCACTATGGAAGTGCCTCATTCAGTATCACACTACAGGATGACAAACTCTTTAGTATAGAAAGGCAAGTAGCATACCGTTCCAGTGCCTAAAACTAGTAAACACTGTCCACCAACCCACTGAAAGAATCAACAAAGTTGGTTCGCTTAATCGTGTAAAACTAGAAACAGCCGTCAGTGAGGATTCTTGAAGCCCATCCTCGCTACCCGTTCAGACAGAGCCAGTTACTCCCTCAACTGAGGACGGGAGACATTTGTTACCACTGGGTTGGTACCATGAATGCAGAGGTAACTGACTCTTTGATCCTGCAGGACCAACATGACTGTGCAGTGTGATGTCTACATAGAGACCCCTCAGAGAGGGGGCGTGTTCATCGCTGGAAGGGTGACCAAAGGGGGTATTTTGGTGAGGACGGCTACAGGAGTTTTCTTCTGGATTTTCGCAAACGGATCTTACAGAGTCACAGCTGACCTGGGTAAATGACACATCTCAACGGGTCAGGACTTACGTGGAGCCTGTGTGTCTAGGGGGAAGAATTTCAGCGTGTGTCAAGTCCCGAGCCATTCGGAACCACAGCTATTCAGTTAGTGTGGAGGAGTGCAGCTCAGCAATGAGAAGGAACAGTAGGAAGGGTTGTGCGCTCGGGGTGTGCAGCGCTGTGAGGGTGAGCTTGTGAGGACTGACCGGGTGGGGTAGTGATGGAGGGAGAACACTGGGGAGCCTCTTGGAAGACTGGAAGTATTGGTGCTTATGGAAATCAAGGGGCAGGTTGAGCCTCTTAGCACGGAGACTCCTATCCCCCATACACAGAATGCTGGGAAGGAGTTTTTGCCTTTTCTCTCTGGCATCTGTCTCGGCAGCACTGGCTTATGTGGAACAGCTCTTGATGCTGAGTGGGGGCCTAGGTGCTCGTTGACACTGGATTGCACAGGTCACACAGCTGCAGTGACATGAGGTCTTGTGGTGGTAACTTCTTAATTCTCAATCTCTTGGCTTACCACATTAGTGACTTTTTTATTTTATAATTTTCTGCTCTTTGTTCCAACTCTGGAAATAAAATAATAGAGAGTAGCAGGTGGTAAGGGTATTGTCAGAGTGTGGCCCATCTAGGAGGTACCTCATTGATATATAGATTGCTTGTCCCCAAGTCCCCAAAACCAGTTAGTGGTGGAGGCAGAACTAGGAATTTCAACCTGCATCTTCAGTACCCACCGCTGTAGTTCGAAGTCACCTCTTGATGTCTAACCCTTGCTTTCTTCCAGACATTCAGACACCCTAAGTGGAAAGCTAGCTTATTCGATTCTCTCTCTGTTGTATTGATGCTGTTTTCATGGAAGCGTATCTACTAGCTGATAGTCTCTAGTAGCCTTGGACTGCTCCATTCAGATATAAGTGTATCTGTGGGTTTACATGCTGATAATGTCAGATATGGTTGGTTTTTAAGTTTATCTCATTTCTTTTGCTGTGAGCGCACGTATGTTCTGTGGTGTAGAATCCACTCTCAGAACGGGCTTGTGTAGTGTGTAGCCGTATGAGGAATTCTCCTTGGAAGTCACTTACAGATCTGGAAATGAAGGGACCGTGCCTCCCTAAGGCAGACTTAACTACATACAGGTGCTATTTCTGAAGCTCCCGGAGTTGTATGAACCTGGGATTTAGGTTTTACACGTAGCCCAGCTGAGAGATTGTTTTGTGTTACAGGTGGATGGATCACATATACTTCAGGACGCGCTGACATTACAGCGAAAAGATGGTATACACTCCGCCTAAGCATTAAGGTAAGTATTGCAGACAAGAAAGAGTGAAAATAAAATGTGTAACTTTCTAGAGTTTTCTGTTTGAAAACAAGTAGAAGGGTAGAAACGATGAAACGGGGGAGTCTGCTGTGGAGTCATTAAAGCCTCTGTCCAGAGATGGAGTGCTGTGTCAGAGAGACCCAGAAGCTGACATTTTAGAACCTGTTTAAATTTTTTTTTTTTTTTTTTTTTTTGTCTTTTAGATTGAGGTGTAATTGGTTAAGTGAGCAGCTGAACTAGCTGTTCTCGGTGTTCTTGAACCAAGAGTGTAAATAGAACCCGCCAGAGTAGCAAAGCCATTGAAGCTTATCCCTGCTGGTCTATGTTAGAGATGATCCTGGAGTGATCATGGGAGAAAGGAAGTCTAAGCATCAGCATCAGCATCCTTGGTTGATCACGCGGTGCTGGCTGACTGTGTTCCTGAAGGATGCTGTGTGGGAAAGTGTCTTCCCTAGTAGCATCAGCATCCTTGGTTGATCCCGCGGTGCTGGCTGACAGTGCTCCCGAAGGATGCTCTGTGGGAAAAGTGTCTCTTCCCTAGTGGTTCTTTCATTCCTTCGCTTAGGTTGTAAATAGAAATTAAAATTGAGACTGAAAAAACTTAAAATGTTTCACTTGGTATCCATTCAACCACTGAAAATGAGAATTCTGATTTTTAAGCTCTTTATTAGTAGACTTGAGGATCTAGTTAGGGTGTGGTTAGTTTATTTGATCATACCGTTCTTAATGGCATAATTGGTTTTACTTGTTCTTTGACAGAATGATCCCAAACATAGTTCCTGAATGTTTATGTGGTGTGATTGGTAGAGACAGGCAAGAAGAATTGCATTTCTTTCTTTATAATTGCAGTTTATTGTTAACTTATTTTTGAGAATTTCCTATAGTGTAGTTTGGTATATTCACCACCCATCTCCTACCAGATCTAACCTCTTCCCTACCCACATGACTTTGTGTCCTCTTTTTTTTTTTTTTTAAATCTATCACATCTAATTTACATTGCCCACATCCTCTTGGGTGTGTGACTGTCCCTTTGAGCATGTTCTATCTCCCAGGGGCCACATGCTTTAAGAAAACTTAAGCTTCCTCTCAGTGTGGTTGTCAGTTGCCAGGTGCTCCTCGGCCTGGGACGGGAGGGGCCTCATCCCCACCTCTTCTCTCCACGTTGGCAGTTCGTCTGCTTACAAAGGGCTCATGCATGCCGTCACAGTTGCTGTGAGTTCATAATCCAGATGTCCTGATGGGTCCAGAAAACCACTTTCCTGTCGTCACCCATTGTATCTGGCCCTTATAAACCCCTGTCTCCTCTTCTGCATGATCCCCGAGCCTTGGCAGGATGGGTGTGATGTAGGTGTCCTGTTTAGGGTGGAACATTCTCTACACCTGGCCCAGTTGTGAGTCTATGTGTTAATCACCATCTGCTGCAAAAGGAAGCTTCTCAGATGGGGGTTGAAAGCCGCATTAGTCTATAGGCTTAAGTCACTAAGAGTTGGCGTAACATATGTTCATTAAGTGGAATAATAGCGGTGGTGGGATCTCTCCTGGATCCTATGACGTGTTAATAGTGCCAGGTAGGTAAGAGAGAAACACTAAAAGGTCTATTCCTAAGTCCAATTCTGCCACCAATGTTTCTTTTGAGACTTGGGGCAGACCAATTAACTTCTGCCATTCTCTGAATTGGAATTAGCTACCTTCTAGATTAGTCATGCTGGATGAAGGACTTCATACTCAGGACTGGGCAAGCATTTGACCTGAAGAGCCAGATGGGAGATAGTGGGGCTTGTGGTCCATGTGCTCGGTGCTCCAGCCACTCAACTCTGGAGTTGTCATGTGATAGCCATGGCAGACAGGAGGAGAATGATTAGTGTGTTTGCATGCCAATCAAAGTTCACTGTGGAAATAGGTGGCTGGCTGGGGCCTTGGTTTGCTGAGCTCTAAGTCAGTAACTTGGAAATGAGTCCAGGCACAGTTATGAAGAAATTATGGCCCCCTTTCTCTGGCTTCCTAGTCATGGCAGTTAGAGAAGACTGTGCCAACTGGGCCATGCTTGAGTTTAGACGTGGATGAGACTGAGAACAAGCTAAGTAGCCCTCATAGCTGGTGCAGAAGGTGGCTGGTCTAGCCTTGTCTAGGGAGCATCTGGAAAGCCAGAATGGCTGGAGCCTGGGGAGTGGGACCAGGAGGCACACTGTGGCCCCGTGGGACAGGCCATATGTCTAATATGATTTGTGTGTGTGTGTCCCTTGGCCCAGGGCTAATGGCCACTGCTCTAGAAGTGGCAGGGGGTGTCCAGGAGTGCCTTTGAGAGGGAGACAGTTGTGCACTTGTGTAGCCAGAGGCATATGGATTCACACTGGGCCCTGGGTGACTTGGATTTGTTTCCTGGATCCCCTGGAGCCTTCAACATAGAATCTTACTCAGCCCAACTCTCAGTGTCTTCATCTATAAAATTAAAGAGCAATGCATTGTAATTTTGAGAGAGAAATATTGGTGCTGGGTTTTGGCCTAATAGTTGGACTCTCCAGCACTTTCTCTTTTGAAAGTAGCTTATTTTAGGTGGCTAGCTGTGCCTTTGAGTGTGTGTTCATAGTGTGCTGCAGACGAGGCAATAAAGGGTGAAATTTACAATTTACCGTGTGCCAGACAGTAAGGGAAATGAAATGGCCACTTTCTGAGAAAGACACACTTGATTTCTTCCCCTCATTACCAGTAAATCACACCTCTGTGCACTTTCCTTCCTCCCCCAGCACTTCGCCCCATGGTTCAGTTTAACTACTGCTCTTCTGACCTAAGAGTAGCCCTTCCATATGGCTTTGTAGTGATATGCTCCTCGTGGGCACAAAAGAGCAAAAGGAAGGCTAACTCCTTCTCTGGCTGGGTGCACAGTCCTTAATTGAGACCTTGAGCACAGAGCAGTTTGCAGCAGGCGTTTGGGCTCAGCAAACTCCGGAAGAATCTCCCTTGGCCAAAGTGCCCGTGTGTGCAACTGCAGTGCTGTTTCAGTGGCCTTTTGTCTGAAGCTTCGTAATAATGCTATAAAAATATTACGGTCTTGTTTTGGGGTTTGGTTTTGGGTGGAATATCAGGAAACATCGAGGTTTAATGTATTTTGGGAACTGTTTAAACAGGTACCTCTTATTAATTCTTTCAGAAAAATTTTGATATATTTTAGACTTTTGCTCAAACACATGAAATTGTATTTTACAGTTCTAGGTCTTGAATGAGAGAGATGTTTGTTCCACTAAGTATGTGAGCTACATTCTTAAATGGACTTCCGAGGATCATTTCCACCTTTTCATGGGACACCTTTCTCTCTCCTGCAGGGTTATTTCGCCTCTGGCGTGTTGAACGGCAAGGTCCTGTGGGAAAACATCCCTGTGAAATACTCAGGGAACGGCTGGGCTGCGATTGGAACGCACACCTTCGAGTTTGCGCAGTTTGACAACTTTCACGTGGAAGCAGCTCACTAGTACTCACAGGGCCTCGAGACGCTATTTGGATTTTCTATTTTTGATTTAGATTCAGGGCCACTTTTGATGGACCTATATGTGAGCCTTTGAGGCTAGCAATAATGAAGAGTATGTAGGGAAGATGGCACACGGTTGCCAGATCCTGTGAAAGATTTAATTAGAACGAATTCCGGAAGGAATGCGGATGTCTTTGGCATTGCCTGCGGTAGCCTTAACACTGTTGGTCCCATCCTTCAGGAGTGGTTTGGGTGGTACCTGCCTTGTAGTCTTGGCGCTGATACCTTGGTAGCTCTCTCCATACTGTTTGTAAATGATCATGCAGATGGCCGGGACCTGAGGACCACAGGTGGTTTGTGTCTAAGTGAGTGGAGGCATCCTTAGAAGATGCTGATGCTTAAGAGGAGGCTGATGAACACTCAGTGCACACTTTAACATGCTGTCCTCTCTCTCTCAGAAACACACACACACACACCCTCTCTCCCTCACGTGCCCCTCTCCCTCCCTCCTCCCTCCTTCTCTCTCTGCCTTCCTCCCCCCATAATGGAATTGGTGGGATGATTTGAAAAAATACCTCATTAATAAACTAACTCCAAAGCCATTTTTGCAGTAATAAAAGTAATCAGAGTAAACTGGGTTGTTTGTATTCCTTCATTATCTACTTCTGGCTTTTGGCTCTCATCACCCTTATAACTGTCTTGAGAATTTCCCCCTCATCTCTTCTGCCCTTTACAGTATGTCCTCACAGGTGCCTCCGGAAACAGCCGAGCACTAACGAATGCCCTCACCTCTCTCTGTGTGGCAGGAGGGTACACTTAGCCTTTTACTAGCTTACTAAATTGGGTCATGTCCTAGTGTTTTTATGGATAGGTGCACTTAGTATGTTCCTACTGTTTATATTTAAGTGTTGGTAAGCATTAATGTAACTCTTAGAACCAAATCAGTTTTTCATGTGGATAAAGAGAACTCGGGAATTCTTTATAAGGAAAAATTACTCATTGAATTAATTCCACGACATGGGACTTTGTGTCAGTCTCACACTGGTAGAACTAGAAGGAGGTTTTGTGTTGCTTTTAAAAACTTGAAGATAATTGCCAGTATAATTCAGATTAAAGAAAAATACATTTAAACCACGTCTAAATGATTTATAATTTAGATTTTTAAATATTTTTGAAAACTAACATACAATTTATATATAATAGAATATTCCCATTTGAAGCGTGTAGTTTGTTTTGATAAGGTAAATATTCCTTTGTAACCAGCACTGCGATGACGCCATCAACTATCTCCATCACCCCGGAGGGCTTTCTGTTACACCCGCACAAGCACTCTGCTTCTGTTGCTAAACATGTGTTTGCTATGGAAGCGACATGATGTGCATTGCAGCCTTCAGAATGGTTGCTTTCCATCAGCATGAGGCTGTGAAATTTGTCCAGGTTGTCGCTTGCCGAAGTGGTCGGCTCCTTTCTGTTTCTGAAGAGAACTCCACTGAATGGCTATGGCACAGTTTGGTTTTCCATCTTCTATTTTTTTTAAATTTATTTATTTATTTATTTATTTATTTATTAAAGATTTCTGTCTCTTCCCCGCCACCGCCTCCCATTTCCCTCCCCCTCCCCCAGTCAAGTCCCCCTCCCTCATCAGCCCAAAGAGCGATCAGGGTTCCCTGCCCTGTGGGAAGTCCTAGGTCTGAAAAAGCCTGGGATAAAACCGGTCTTGCTGAACATAGGGGACAATGAGGACTACTGAGACCTCAAGAACAATGGCAATGGGTTTTTGATCCTACTGCACGTACTGGCTTTGTGGGAGCCTAGGCAGTTTGGATGCTCACCTTACTAGACCTGGATGGAGGTGGGTGGTCCTTGGACTTCCATCTTCTATTTTAATGAGTTGAAAAGTAAAACTCATGACAGCATTTACATACAAATCTTGGGACTATTCATTTATTTCTTCTGGATTAACTGGGAAGAAAGGCTACTGGCTCTTATGTTAAGATACGTTTAACTTCATGTGAAACCACCAGCTGTTCCCAAAATGATCCCATGATGTTACACTCCCATCACCGGTGTTAATGATGTTACACTCCCATCACCGGTGTTAATGCACCAATAACAGCATCCTTGCCAACACTGTGTAGTGCATCTGGATAGATGAAGATCTCTGCACACATGCTCCTGTCTTCTGTGGCTCCAGGGTTTTTGCTTCTTTCCCAGCATGTCGCTTTGTTTCAGAAGTTTCTGCTGTCTTGAGCTCGCTGGAACTTTCAGTTACAGCTTTGAGGAGTGCTCAGAGCATCCATCCCCGCCTCGTTCCCAATCTTAGGGAGAATGTCTTCCACTCTTAGCGTGATCTTCTAAGAAGGTGGTTTCTTTCCCCCTCCCCCTCTCTTTTTTGTTTTTAGATCCCTTGTGTAATGTTGTTGGTGCATAAGTGCAGATCTTGCTTCAAAGGCAGTAATAGTTTATTCTTGAGCAAAATGTGAGTGACTACAGCCCAGGAACATGGATTTAGGTTATCCCAAATTCCATGTTCCTGTGTGGTAGCAATTTCATAAAGCTCTTATAGTAATAGAACAACAGCAGTCATCAGCCAAGGCACTGTTGAAGATAATTGGTGGCAACATCAGTAGATGGGTTACAGCAAGGTGGGGAAGTTCTCAGACATGGGCCTGAGCTGCTGTCTGGTGACATTCTTAGTCTGGGTTGGTGGAATTTAGAGGTCCATTCATACAACCTCAAACGGTTTAAATTTGAGCGTCACAGGGATCTGGCTTGAGGACGCTGGCTACTGCTCTGCAACCGATATTAAGCCAGATCCACGACTCGTTGTGAGCATTTGCAAGCGAAGATGAACGGACTAAAGGGTAAACTTGTGACTTCAATGGGACACAGTACACTTTCCAAGGCAAGATCTCTCTCTCTCTCTCTCTCTCTCTCTCTCTCTCTCTCTCTCTCTCTCTCTCTCTCTCTTTCCCCTTTGTTTGGTTTTGGAGGGGATGGGGAGATAAATGTGATTAGAATACATAATGTGGAATTCACAAAAAGTTAAAAAAATAATAAAGAGGCCTGATGGGGTAAAAATAGCCCAAGATAATTTGGCTCCAGACCTGAATATTCCAGCTTTCCATAGTTACTAATATTCTAGACCATCAATCTATCTTGGAGAATCTTTAACATAGATGCTATTATTCTGGGAACTTTAGTTCTAATGTCTTATAAATAATCTGATAACTTCTCAAGAAAATCTCTCTTGGCAAGTCCATGACCACTCTTGGGCATGTGCTCTCATTTTCTCAAGTTCCTCACTGTCTTTCCAAATGGCAGTATTTAAAATCTATGTTATAGGCGCTGGAAAGATGGCTCAGAGGTTAAGGATGCTTACCGCTCTTGCACATGGACTGAGTTTGGTTCCTCGTACCCATATCAGGGGCCTTACAACCGCCTATAATTCCAGTACCAGGGGACCCAAGACCTCTGACCTCTTCAGGCTCCTGAATTCATGTGCATGGACCCCCACACAGGCCCTGTGTGAAGTGAGTGACTCTCAGGGCTTTGGGAAGACTTCCGGAGCAGGAAGATGGCCCTCTTGCATTGCATCAACTCAGCCCATCCCCATTGCTTCAGGTTTAATTAATGGCAGAAAGTTATCTGGCCCTCCGGGATGGCATTATTTCTTTTTATGAAACTTTACAAATCCCTGCCTTTTGGGAACCAGCATGTTCTAGTGAAAGACTGTAAATTCTTGCTGTACCACCCACACTATTTTTAGCAGTGAATGGATTGTTCCCTTTCTTAGCGCCTTGAAATAATATCAGCAGGCATTTATTGAGAATTAGGCTGTAAGCTCCGTGGAAACGGAGATTAAGTTTGATTCCGTGCAGAGCCATATCTGCAATATCTAGTATAGGCCCCGATAATTAATGCAGAGGCGACGAATAAGTAGCTGTTGGGAGGTATCTTAGTTGCTATTCTGTTGCTGCGAGGAGACAGCGTGAGCTAGGCAACTTATAAAGGAAAGCATTTAATTGAGGCTTTATTTAACATTTTCAGAGGATAAGTCCAGCATGTCAACTGGCAAGCAGGCATGATGCTAGACCAATAGCTGAGAGCTTATCTCTGGTCCTTAGGGGAGAGGCAGAGAGAGCGAGAGAAAGATTGGGCCTCGTGCAGGCTTTGGAAACCTCAAAGCCCACCCCCAGTGACACCTCTTCCAAGTAGGCTGAATTTTCTCTAACAAGGCCACACCTCCTAGTCTTTCCTTAAAAAAAAAAAAAAGCCACCATCTCGGGACCAAGGAATGAAGCATTCAAATATATAAAACATCCAAATATATAAGCCTTTGAAGGCCATCCTCAAACTACTACCGTAGGGTAGATGGAGTATTTGAGAAGAATGGATATCTTGTGTTAAGTAATTCTCGTGAGTTACATTATTTTAGACCCTATAATGTTTGCAACTAAAACTCACAGGATGTCAGAGAGTGCTGGCGCCTGACTCCTTCCTGGATTACCAGGGAAGCTGAGAATTGCCACTGATTACCATATGAAATGTATAAAACTCTGTGTGTGTGTGTGTGTGTGTGTGTATGTGTTTGCACATGCATGTGTATGCACATGCCTATGAAGGTCAGAAGTCAGCATCAGGTGTCTTCATCACTATTCTCCTTATTGTTTGAGACAGGGTCTCTCTGAACCTGGAGCTCATTGTTTGGCTGGGCTGTCTCGCCAGCCGCCTTAGGCACCTTCATGTCTTGGCCTCCCCAGTGCTGGGATTACAGCTGTGTTCTGCTGCCCCCGGATTTTTAGCTGCTGCTGGGGATCTGAATTCAGGACCTCATGTTTACATGGCAAGTACTTTACTGACAGCAAATTCCCTAGCCCAAATAGGGATAGTTTTCGAAGTTTCTCTGACTAGTTGGCATGTGATTAAGAACAAAAATTAATTATGCTTACAAACAATTAGAGAAAATCAAAAAGCTAACATGTTAATTTAAACAGCGATACTTGGATATTTGGGGGGATGAATGAGGTGATTCCGAGTGATTAACAGTTAATCAAAAACAGCTTCCACTTACCTTCTGAGTCGTTCATTCACCTTAAAAAATGTTGTCTTACCATGTATTATAGGTCCTGAATAGGAGACATAGATTCTTCCGGGATTAGATTGATTTCCATGGTTCTAAAGTTTCTGAAGGAAGCCATGTGTTTTTGCAAGGATGAAGAACAGAACTGGCTCTCTGTGCCTCTGGCACTGCCCTTCCATATCCATCAGGAGAGATGTTTGGCATGGCTGTGTGCTTGTTTGCTTATGACTTGTTTCCTGAGCTCGGTTAATACTTGAAGCCTATGCTAAGTCCTGAGACTGATTTAACCCTGTGTCTGGAGAGACTCCTTAAGTCATACCTATGGATCAAATAAATCCTTCAGTGGCAGACATGGGCTGGAATTTGTAACTGGAATCTGGCTCTGGCATCCCCTCAACATGCTGGTGTTTGGGATCTCTCTTGAATTAATTCAGACAAGACCCCAGAGAGCAGAAGACAAGCTGGACAAAAGCCTTTCAAGGAGAAGAAAGGACAGTGAAGAGTGGCCATTGTGCCCCCCTTTAAGGTGGATTTTATGCTAATTTGTAAAATTTCAGGAACAGATGTGTTTAAGTGGGCAGGAGATTGATAGGTCTGTTTAGATTAAGGGAGGGGGAACTAGTATGTCTTTGTTGCATAGCAGGGAGTCTCTGATAGTAATTGTATGAGCTTTGAGGACTTCCTATCTTCACCCAGGGCTGAAAATATGATTCATATCTCATTCTATTGATCAGTGATCAAAATTTGAGTTCCTGGTTTTATAATCTGAAGATTATAAAGGAGGGGGATCCACCCTCAAACTTCCATGCCTGCTAACATGTGACTCACATCTAATAGAGATGATGTGGCTATATTCCCGTAAGAGCTTTGATGTCTCCACACCCCAAACTCTGCTCTTGCCATATATATTTAGAATAGAGTTGCCATAAACTCTAAATGTACATTAAGCATAACTGAGGAGACCTGATACCTGGGTTTGGCCCCAGAGAATCTGGTTGGTTGGTCTGGGGGAGAGTTTGAGGAT